TTCATGTAATAGTTTTGATTCCGCTTCGTCTTTGTTTCCTTTTCTTTCTTTTTTGTACACAGCATGCAATGTTGTTTATCTTAAGAACTTAAAAATTATATTCCTCGAGAAAACAAGTTTAAATAAAGTCTTTGAACCAAAAAAAGTCTTCCTTTCGAAGTTTATACCACAAAAATCATTTTTTTTCTTTTCGGTTATGTAATGTTTCCTTATCCAGCAAATTGATCAGAAAACTGGTGAAAAAATATTTATGTTTATAAATGGTATGTTTTTCTTTTAAAGTTTAAAAAGTTATTGATGTATTTGGAGAGGATTGTGAACTTATAGTCTGTTTCATGAACTTTGAAGGTTGGGGGAGAATGTGTTCTCTCTGCCTTCTCAATACTAATTCGCCGTGGATTTAACCCAATCATAATAATAATTCTATCACAATAATACGATCAAAATAATATTCTGTATAATAAGCTTTTAGAATAGATTTTCTTCTATCCTCTTTATACCCTTCATTTTTTTATTAGTATTTATTAGTTGGTCAAGTTAAATATTCAGTTCTCTCAGCTGCAGACAAAACTTGAAGTAATTTATGTTCTATTACACATAAATACACCCGTAGCTGTATTCTCTGTTTCTAGAAATATACTTCCGTATTTTTTTTAGAAAGCAAAGAGATTGATCAGGTCATTGAAGCAGGAATAAATGTTATTTATAAAACCTGATTAAAATAAGAATGAAATAAAAAATCATATGCTCCATGAAATTTTTTTTTGCCTAATAAGTCCTCCTTTCGTAGTTTATAAAAAAAATCAGTTTTTCAGTTATATAATGTTTCTTTACCCAACAAATCGATCAGGAAACTGATGAAAAAATATGTTTGATTATAAATGGTATGTTTTTCATTTAAAGTTCAAAAATATTGATGTTTTTGAAGAGAGGACACCAATAATTATTATGATTTTACTCTGCTTCATGGACTTTCAAGGTTGGGGAAAAAAGCAAAAATAACGATTTTCTCTCTGTTTTCAAAATACCAATGAGTCGTGGAAACAAAGATTAACACAATCATAAAAATGATTCTCGAAAATAATCTTTATGATAATTTTTGGCGAACTCCCAAAGAAACTCATTTTTGATTAAACAGAGCTTAAGTTAGTTAACTATTACTGTTGTTAAAAAAATATTCCTTTAATCCTTAAAAAAAAAAAAAAAAAAAAAAAAAAAAAAAAAAAAAAAAAAANCTGTTGTTAAAAAAAATTCCTTTAATCCTTAAAAAAAAAAAAAAAAACTATTTTTTTGAGCTTTAGTGGATGAACTGGTCGGAGGGAGTTTCAAAGTAAGCAATGAAGAGCATTTACAAATTTTAATGTTTTTCATACTATTTAGCTGACAAAGAAATACCTTGTTTTACCAGAAATTACTTTGTTTTACAAATATTTATACAATGTTTCTCATGGTTATTACTACATCATGAACAATTTCCTAATGTAATATTGAAAAAGTAATTTTTTTCTTTCTGAATTTAAAAAGAATTAAGCTGTTTTTATATAACGCAGGAAAAGCATAAAAAAATACAAAATGCTAATGCATGAATGAATCGGATTGAATGCAGAGTTTAATTCTGCAAGAGTTGGAAGTCTGCACCAAATGCAAGCACCACCTCTTGCTCAAGGAAAAGGAATATTAAACGGTGTAACAAGTTGAGTCTCATTCAATAAGAAAACAAAGGATGATCTTTAGGTTAAGATGCCGTATATGCTATAGCGTTTTCAAGTTTATTCGAAGAGGACAAAAAATAGATTAGAAATATAGAAAAAATAGAACAAAACCACTAAAATATAATGTAAATGCATAAAAACACACATAAGAACTTAAAAGAATATGAAGCAACATATAGAAACACCAGTAAAAAATCATTTTGATCAGACTGTATTTTCTTTTTAAGTGGGGAACTTTTTTTAAATTTCAGTTTAATTAGTTAATTAGTGAATGAGTCAATTATAAATTAGTTTAAGCTGTTAGTTTAGTTAAATTTCAGCTTGAAAAAGGCTAAAATTTAAATCATTAAAAAAAATAATAACTGCTAATGTTTGCACACTCCTATTATAATACTCTGAGGTCATTATTAACTCATATGTCTTGTAGATATCATTAGTTTCACTGCTAAACAGGATTGGATAAATATGTTACAGTTTAGTAGCAGAAAACATCCAGTTTTCTGTAAAGATCTCTAAGTTATTGTGAAGTTTTCAACAACCACCTCCCGTCATTGTTGTTGCATAACAAAGTGTTAAATTGTAGATGATAGTAATGAAGGTTCTTAAATTCTCTTTTACAGTCTATTAATATTTCTTTTTTCAACTATAAAATAGAAGTTCCGTCACCACGCCTGCATGATTGAGGTAAATAAAAGAAGAAAAAAACACGGATGAAGAGGCCAATTATGGAAATTACAGAAGATCGAATCTTGATAAAATGCAATTATTTTTGCTATAGCGAGGATAATTAACTCGAGTTCAAGATATTGCACAAAAATTCGCCAACGAAGGTCGGGATTAAAAGTTGTTCGTAAATAGAATTATTTTTTATTTACTGTGCGACCATAAATAATTATAATATTCGTCATTGTATTAACTGTGATACTGATGTTAGCCTATCTGATAATGGATGTAGGAAAAAAAACAACAATAAGAAATGATAGAATTCGAATTGTAGATAATGGTTAACAGATGAGGATTTTTATGAGTGGAATCAGTATTTATTTAATCTCAATGAGAAATTAATAGATGAGTTTAATAAAACCTAATTCTATCAATGATTTAGCGTTAAGTATTTAATGAAGCAATTGAAAAAATTTTCATTGGACATCTGTTCCAAATGTGAAGTTACAAATTTTACAAATTTACTGGAAAATAAATTTGTGTATTTTAAGAAATGTGATGATGCTAATAAAAAGACTTTACTGTTAAGGGGCTAAAGGGTTGCTTATGAATTTTTATTGCACTGTTTTTAATCGGACATTACTAATTTATCATATTCTTGTTGCGAAATTTGACAAAATAAAAGTCTGTCGAAGAAAAAATTTATCTTAGTAGCGTCTCATGAAACATTTCAAAAATTTTCTTGTATATCGTTTTCTAAATGGCCTATTACTATTACAAATTTAATATATTCATGGAAAATAAATTGGATGTTTTTAGATACATCATTAAATCAAAGAAATTTTTTTACACTTCTTATTATTAGTTAAGTAGCTAATGAAACGTTTAATAAATTTTTTGCGCTGTTTTCAACAGGGCATTACAAATTTATTACATTCTTGCAAAATAGATAAATCAATTTCTGAAAATGCAATTCTACAAATGGAGCTTTTTTTTTTTAATTAGTGTTTAGCATCTAATGAATATTTAATAAATTTATTATAACATCTGTATCTAAAGAGGTATAGCAATTTTAAATATATTCAAAGGAAATGAACTGTAAATTTTTCGATAGTCATTTCAGCATAACAAAAAGGTTTAAATAAAGTGGTTTGTGAAAGGTTATTTATTTGACAAAATTGTTGAATTCTAGAAGCGAGGATGAAAAAAATTTACCTAAACCTTGAGCCATATAATTTCTCACATTAGAATGTATGTTTGTTTTTTTCACTTTTAAAAAGAAATGTGTATCGATTTCCTACCTCATTAGAGTGTGATAAGATAATATAGTTTAAAATAAATAAGAGAATTCGATTTTTAATTTTCATTCTGGTAGAAACTAGTTTCTTATTATAATTTTCTTTTAGATTTATAATTAACCTTTCATGCTATTTGATATAAGCCTCGAAATAGACTTTTTTTTTTTTATTGAAAGTCGTAAATTTGACTCGAATTCTTTTGTCTGGTTTGATAAAAAAAATAATTGACCGAGTTATACATCACATAACCAGTCATTTGAGTATTTACATAGTTTTAAAAAGTCAAGAATTAGCATAAAGCGGTGTTTAGAATTTAGTCTACAAGGTAGTCTATTGTTGACAAGCATCTTTTTTCATCAAGTCTATCAGTTTTTATAGCAAATAAAGTAAAAAATGATACATGGTTAAGTGATGCATTGTACTGTTCAAATGCAACTATGTGTTTCATAAAGTTAAAAAATTATTTCTAAACGAAGCTGTTAATAAGTCTTGAGAAATATTACACTTTAACATACATAATAAGGCAAATTAAAAGGTAAATAGGCTATAACACCATGAGTTCAAAATAAATGAAACTCTTAACATTTGCTAAGCAATATAGGACTCATATAAACAAAGAATTATTTAAGCTTTTCGGATTCATTAAAATTATTGATTAAAGTGCTCCAAAATTTAATTTATATTGCTCTTACAATGTTACTAGTGATGAAAAGAAACATAAGTGATTCAACAACTACTTACAGTTGAAAACTTAAATAAAATTAATGATTTGATGAGCAACAGTTCGTGAGAACGGGAATTAGTATCCAGCCGGCCGAAGAATTCCCCGTGTATTGAATGGTAACTGGTGCACACGTAAAATCTGGCGGGGTCACAAAGTCCTCCAAGTTTCCATAACAAATCAGTACCTCTGTGAGTACTGATCCAGGAGTTTTCTTGTCTTCTGGATTGAGTTCAAAATATTGCTATTGCTATTCTGAAAACTCGTGAAAACCGGAAATTTTATCGGACAAATATTTCCTCCCAAATTTGTTTAGGAATTTATTTATTTACTTATAAATTTTTTTTTACGATCTATAAACTATTGTTGAAACTCATGAGGAATGCAGAGTCTGTAAAAAGAAGATAACAATGAAATGCAAAGGACGCCGATATTAAATTTGATGTAAGAATTAAAATGTTCAAACATAACATAATAAAAGTTAAACATGTTCCCGCTAAACTTTTACATTTGTTTCGAGCATTAAGAACATAATCGAAAAATCTTCTAAAAAAAGATGAATGAGACAGAGAGATAGCTAAACAAAAAGAAAGAAAAAAATCATACCTTCAACCAGTGATGTAAGGAGGGTGACATTGGCGGCTTTCCGCCTACCTGCCGGCAGGTTAAGGCCAATCTTATCCAACTTCTCCCTCAGTGATCGACCCCCGTTTTTAGACTTGGCCCTGTAAGAAAAAACAAAAAATGAATCTTCATTCAGTATTCTCTTCATTCAATAGTCTCACAATTAGCCTCAGGCATTGATGTGCTCTTACTTCAGACAACAAAAGCTACAAGAAATGAACTTCCTGGTTACAAAGCCGTAATTTAAAAAAAAAAAAATTTTTTTAAAATTTTTACCACAGAAGTTTTTTGTGGGCAAAAGTAATCAATGCATGAATTGCACAAATTAGAAACAAGCAATTTAAATTTCTTAATATCAAGCTACGATTTAATTATTTATAAAACAGAAAAAGAAAGAAAATTTTATTTCTCTAAGGCTAAAGCCCGTTAACGCAATAAGGAAAAAGCATTTTCTCAAAATTCGACTGAAAAAAAAAAGAATAATAGAGGATTGGAAGTTCTATAATGAATGCTGCAACATTTCAGAATTATAACTTTTAGAAATCTGTGCTACAATATTTCAAACCCCAAAAAAGTTTTTTTTCAAAGGCCTCGTCCTTATACACTGGTTATCATAAATTAAGGAAAATTCACAAAAATCGCGATAACTCAAGAAATTACACATGGAATTTTATGAAACTTACCCACAATATACAACACATAGNCAATATTTCAAACCCCCAAAAAGTTTTTTTCAAAGGCCTCGTCCTTATACTTCAAAATTATTAACTAAAAATTCCGCTCATGAAAATTGTATCTATATAACTGTTAATTTTATAAAGTTTTAAATTATATAACAAATACTATAATGAAAAATGAAAGGAGGTAATCTATGTAATAAAATAAAAGAATGATTATTTTGTGAAAATTAACAGCCATAAATATTATTTTTTTTCATTCTTTATTTTTCTTCATCCGGAAGACTATGTCCTTTAGCTACAATAGACCAATTTTACGGATCGAAAATTTTCAACTAAATTTCTTCCTCAATTTTTTTTTTCCTTACAGCAGAGTTCGCGCCTTCTTTAAAAGCTTCTAAAAAAGGGGAAAAAAATAAGTGGGGAAAAAACTCCCACGCATTCACTGTTCTTTTCTTCAATGACTGAACAGCAAATGCAATAAGGTGTACGAGCAAATGATTCTTAATAGCCTAATTTTTTTCTGGCATTTTTTTTCTCCATCACTTAGGGAACTAGTTTCCTTCTTGCGTCGTAGCAAATATTTTTTTTACAGGTGTAGCCATCATATTTTTAACTAGATACCAGCAAATATTTTTCTCAAATAATTAGCATTATGATTGCTTGATAATGATGAATGATACTACGTTATAATTTTTTTGTTATCTCTTATTCACTGTCTAACGTAAGAAATTCTTGATTCTTAGTCCTTTTGTATTAATAAAGTTACTTTGCATTTATTATAAAAAAATTAATTTAAATTTTAAAAATTTTTGTTCAAAATAAAAATTAAAAAAATTTAGCAGTTATGAAAGGCAGGAAAATCTCAAGGTGATGGGACCAGATTTGCCCTAACTTTAAGGCAAACAAGGGTCTCTTTCTTTTTTACCCATGTTTACTCGGAGGTGGGACCTCTCCCCAATAAAAAAAAAAAAAAAAAGAAAAGTTTGCGAGCATTAATACCATTTATAAAATGCCACTATAATATCATATATAAAAGTTTTCCAGAATAAATAACTAATTAAATGGGCATTCTGGTTAGTATAGAAAAAGCTATGTTAAGAAATTCTTTAGAAAAAGTCTAACTTTTATCCACACGTGCGTCGCATGGATTCACTGACTTATATACTTTCTTCTATTCTCGATACTCGATATACAAGGGCGCCGGCAGCGGGGTGCAAGGGGGTGCACTTGCACCCCCCTGGCTTTTTTTTTAAAGCAATTAAAGAGACACAGAAAAATTTTGTTATAAATTTTTTTTATTAAACATATTTTCATGGAAAAACAAATAATTAAGTAATTATTGATACATAACAATTAAAAAATTGTTTAATCAAACAAGAATTGTAAACGTCTTGTTTGCTGTCCAAATCTGTTTTTAACTTTTTCAAGGAATTCTGAGTCATCTTTGATTCTTTTTTTATGCACACTGAGCATTCACAAACTTGGAAGATATCTGAGTTATATTTTTAAATTTCATTTAATAAAATGTAAATAATATTATATTTTCCATTAGTTATTCAATTTAACAAAGATGTATAACACAAGCTGACTTCTCGCAACTGTAAAACTTCATCAACACAATAAATACCAATGTAAAGCGTGCACAAACACGTTAGTATACGAAACTACTGTTTGTAGTTATTTGTGTTTCAAAGTCAGTGGCTATGCCAGCGCCAGCGCGATCGCTTCTGAGCAAAATTTGTAAGTACAAGAAATTCGTACTTTTTTTAAAATATCTTGCTAACAATGAGGAAATGTATCTTGAAAAACTGAACAGATGAAAGTATATGTAATAACAAAACAAAATGTAATAGCAGAATATTTAAATTTTTTTTCGGGGGGAAGGGAGGGTAGTTTGTTAGAGGGTTGCACCCCCTTTTGTATTATTTTGCCGGCGCCCTTGTCGATATATATATATATATATATATACTACTAA